TTCTGGTGATTTCTCACACCTGTTAGTAGTCAGACTCTCAGATGCACTCAACAAACCTTCCTCTGATATTCACACCTGTGTGGTCTCCACCCTCACTGAGTGACCAAAAGAACAAGGGGGTGTTGTGACATTCTAAGACAGTGACAATATGATACCATACTCGTTCTGTGGCCCAAGACACAAGTGACAAAGCTAATAAAGTTATAAAGACATTGCCTAGTGGGCAGACTGGTTCACGTTTGGGATTGTCAGTGATTCAGGAGGCTGAAGCAGGAGGATCACAAGTTCAAGATCAATCTGGCAGGACCCTGTCTCAAAGAATAAGCAGTAATCAAAAGGCATGGTTATCCCTACTTAGAACCTACAAAGTTCTTTTGTAGACGTTGACAACTTGGTTCTGATATATATACAAAAATATAATGAAGGACAGATAGCCAGAACAATCCTGAGAAAGAAGGTAGTTGAAGAATTTATATCACCTTGGGGCTGGGGATTTAGCTCAGCGGCATAAGCGCCTGCCTTGCAAGCAGGCAGTTGTGAGTTCGATCCCTGGTACCGATAAAAAGGAAAAAGACAAAAAAACAAAAACAAAAACAAAAAAGAATTTAAATCACCTGATCTTGAAACTACTCATAAAGCTACAGTCATCGAGATGGTGTAGTAGATAAACAGAACAGATTTAAGAGTCCAGAAATAAATCTTTACATTTATGGCCAACCTATTTGCAATAAAGGTCTTAAGATATTCTACTGGAAAAACCATAAGCTTTTCACCCATTGGTGCTAAGAAAATTGGATAGTCACATGTTACAAAATCAATGCAGACTTTTCCTTTCCAACATGCACAAAAACTAATTCAAAATGGATCATAAACTTAAAAGTTAAACTAAAACTATAAATCTTTTAGGAGAAAGTGTAGGGGAAATCCTCACAACTGGATTGGACAGAGATTCCTTTTATGTGACAGAAGCAGCATGATCAATGTAAAGAAAAATTTGATCAATTGGACTTCATCAAAATTAAAAACTTCCACACTTTAAGAGACATCATTAAGAGGCTAAGAAGACAAGCCATGAACTGGGGGGAAATATTTGCAAATTATGCATCTGATTATGGCTTGTATCCAGAATACATAAAAGCTTATTCAGTAACTTAGTAAGACAAAGAACCCAATAGGCAAAACACTCGATCAGACACTTCATCAGAGAAGACATAGGAATCACTAGAAGCCTATGAGAATATACTTAACAATCAATCATTAGAGAAATGCAAATGAAATCCATAATGAGACCCCACCACACATCTGCTGGAAGAGTTTTCATCAAAATACAGATAACACCAAACACAGAAGATGCAGAGGAACTGGAACCCTCGGGCACCACCAGTGGCAAATCAAGATGGTGCCACCATCCTGGGAAAATGGTCTTCCTATTTCTTCTAAGGAGATAAATGAAAATTGTATCCAGAGCCAGCGAGCCCCCTCCAAGGAATTCATCCAAGAGAGATGAAAGCAGATGTTCCCATGAAGACTTGCATGTGGATAGTCACAACCACATCATTCATCTCCGGCAAAAACTGGAAGTAGTCTAAATGCCCAGCAAAAAAAAAGAAAAAAGGGACTACAGGCTTAAGGATGACAGCTCCACAACTCCACAGATGCACTAGATCCAATGAGAGGAAGGTTAGCCTGGCCATCCTGGTGGCTGTCTCGCTGCTGTGGCCCTGTGGCTCACCGCTATGTCACTGGCAGACCTATGGAGTGGTCTGCGTCATAAGCAAGTGAAGCTTTCCCAGACGCTGGTGAAGAATCTGGCCTCCCAGAGCTCCACCAGAGTGTGCAGGTTCTCAAGTCCAGGCCAGCCTTCCGGTGAGCACAGGTCCAGATAACATCTTGACTAAGATGCTTCATGAGCGATTAAGCCAGAATCATCTAGTTAAACTGCTCCTGGACCTCACCACCCTCAGAAACAGAGTGAAATTTGTTGTTTCAAGTTGCCAGGATGGGTGTCACTTGTTACACAGCCGTCAGTAACTGATACACATTATCTCATAGAAATCTGCCCACTCAAAGATTTAAATAGACATTTGTGTCCTCATTATTTACTACAGAGACAGAGAACCAAGGGTCTGGCCCAAGACTATACAGGTTACAAGAGCAAGGAGAAAGGTCACGCTGACAGCAAAGCTGCATTCTTCCTGCCATGATTTGTGTAACTTCCTGAGCCGAGCACTACAGGAGACACCAAGGAAGGAGGGTCAGCTCGGGCCTGCAGCACCTCCCAATCCAACAGTAGGGAGCCCAGGGGACAGCAAGGAAGCCCTCCTGGCCACGCGGAGAGACCACCCCCCTCCACGTCTCCCTGCGGCTGCCCGTTCAGCCCTACAGCAGCCAAACCCATTCTATTCAATTCCACAAAGAGCTCCGAGCACTGGAATGGGGGTCCCTGCCTCTCTCCCTTGAAGCAGACAGCAGCGAAATTGGACAGTAATGTGTTGTCGTTCAAATATTTCAGCTGGAGCCAGGGTGAATTATGATGCCGTCCCACTTTATCCAGTGTAGCATCTTTCATAAGAGCCGTGCCTCAGAAACACTTTGGAGAAGGAAATAATAAATAATTGCCCAAGGGGACAAAGCATGAGATGAAAAGCTCCGGGCTGATGGGGAGGGGAGGAGAGCTCAGGTGCGTGAAGCTGCTGCATTCACAGCGCGGGCAGCTGGGCCAGGCAAGAAGGGCCTTAGGTGTGGGTGCTGGGTTCCAGGTGCTTCTGGAATCTTCTGGAGAGGAAGCCACAAGGTCACCAAACCTCCTGGGCCTCACCACAGCAGCCTAGGCCTTTGGGAAGGAGTTCAGAGGTCCCTCCAACTGAGGTAGGGCCCTGGATAGGCCACCTGACTCACACACCTAAATTGTCAGGGGCTCCTGTCTTGTTCAGAGTCCAGGCTGGGCCCTCACCATGGCCCTAGGTGATCCCATGTCTTTCATCTTCTGGATTTCTCTGAGCCCTGAAACTCTGATCTTGCTGTTCTTTAATATGTCAAGCACATACCTGCCTCAGGGCCTTTGCATGGGCCGCTCCATCTGCCTGGAATACTCATCTCCCAACTACACACAAAGCCAACTCCTTCACCTTTTCAGAGCTTTGCTAAAATAATACTTTCTTGGCTAGGCCTGCCAGGACCCCTTAATCACTTGGTCTGTTGTCCACCACTGTAGCTGAAACCTCATTTGCTCCACAATGCACATATCATGAGGACTAGGCTTTGTCTCTGCTCTGCACCTGTGAGTCCCACAGGCCAAGGGCTCATTCCACATTGTGCCTGGTACAACTCAGTGCCCAAATGACATGCGCCGGGGAGCCCAGGTATGTGAGCCTCTCTCACAGCTACAGATCTGTGCACCCCTCCCCAGGACCATGCACAGCTCTACACACCCATGCACATGCAAGCACCCAAACATCAGGGCAACTTAGCAAGATGCTGGCTCAAAATGAAAAATTCAAAAAGGTCTGGGGATGTAGGTCAGTGTGAAGGCCCTGGTGCCTGAATCTCCAGTATCATTAAACAACAAAAATAAAAGTATGAGCCTGGGCTGTGGGCTGCAAGTTCTCACACCAATGCCTTTGCTCTTTTGCTGCCTGATTTCTTTGGAATGGAAATCAGGGTCCTGGCATCAGCAGGGTCCTGGGGCCCAGCAAATGGAGAAGGGAGCAGGGCTGCTGAGGACCTGGAGAGGGCCTGTGAGGAGCCGGCTGGAGGCCGTGTGGCCCATGGGAGATCAGATTCCCAGCCTTCGGCAGTGGCTGAGAAGGGCTCAGACACAGCTGCAGAAGCATCTGGCCTCCAGCTCTCTGGTTTGTTTTTCTTGTTTGCTCACAGGTGGTGACTTCTGTTTGAGAAGTGAAGGCGAGATGCCTCTGCACAGTCTTGAGTTTACAATAATTAAAGGTGGCACATTCCCCAGGGCCACATAAAATATTCAGGACTGGGTCCTAGAGTGACTTTCACGTGCCAGAGGGAAGGAGAAAAATAAAGGACCTCAGTTCTTACGTTTGGTCCCCATTCAACAAAATCATCCAGGACAGGCAGGGCCAGGGACACCAGGCCAGGCCCCAAGAGACCTCAGGGTGGGCAGGATGTGGCCTTAGGATGAACAGGGCCTGCAGGGCACTTCCAGGGAGGGGCATCGTAGTGTTGCTGTCTGATCGAGCCAGGTGCTCCTCCTTCCGCTCAGTGGTCTGGACCGGGGTGACTTTAACCTGCAAAGTCATTAAGTGATGTGTGGAGACTGTGTTGTCATCACAAGTGGTCGTGCAACTGGCATTTAACAGCTAGAGGCCAGGGGTGTGGTCAGACTTCCTGCAGTGCCCACAGCAGCCCCACAACGAAGAACCCCGCTCCCAAAGCTAAGCATGGAAAATGCTGGCTGAGCAAGAAGCCTTCAGCCAGGAGTTGGAAGATTCTCGGAAACCCCGGATGTCCCTGCAGAAATCCATGCACCTCCCTCAGATTGTATGTGAAATTTGGGGCTAAGGTGTGCCTGAGAGTTTTTCCATCAGGCTAATCATTGTACCCATCAGCCCATTTCGGAGGTCAAACATCATATGGAATTCATGCCCAGCACAGGGCATGGCCCAAAGTGAGTGACCAGTCCACGGTGTGGAGGGATGACAGGGAGTCCTTAAGATGACCCAGAAACAGCACTGCTCTTCTCCACCCAAGTTCTGAAGATGTGGGGAAAGAGACAAAGGGCAAGAGATGATGATGGAGGCCACCTCTGGTAAGGTGTTGATTTGCTGACCTGACCAGGGCTGAGTGTTAGAGCCAGCCAGGCCTGACCCCGAGCCCCAGAAACAGAAACAGGGCGACCCAGCTCCTCCCACCTCCAGCCTCCTCCTGGGAGGAGGCATGCATAGACCAGCACAGAGCAATAGACGCGCCATGCAAGCCACATTGAAAACACTACACTCTGGGAGGCCACGTTAAAAAAGAAATAGGTGAAATCAATTTTAATAATATATTTTATTTAGCCTGGTATCTACAAAACATTATTATGTTAACACATAATCAATATAAAAATCATTTATGAGGTACTTTACATTATTTTTTCATATGGTCTTAAAATTCAGATTTTACACTAATGGCACATCTCCATTCAAATTAACCACTCTGCAAGTGCTAGGAGCTACCTGTGGTTAGTGGTTACCATGAGGGGTGAGGATGGTGGAATATGGGGGTCCAAGGGCCCCTCCCGTGGATTAGCTCCAGAAAAGCAAGGGAAGAACTAAGCTGCAGGAGCCACATTCACCTGTCAAATAGCTCACTTCACACACGCACGCGCGCGCGCACACACACACACACACACACACACCACGCAGGACAGAATTCAGAAAGGCCAAAAATTATACTAAAGAGCTACCTATAAAGCAAACAGTAGAATTGAAGATATATTCCTCCTAGTGAATGGATGGATGGATGGATAGGTAGATAGATAGATAGATAATTAATGAAATATGATCCAGGTGTTTTGGCTTTGCTTAGATGGTCCCTCAAAGCCTCATGTGCTTAGAGCCCGGGCTTTTTCAGAGATGAGTGGATCTAGGGTGCTTAATGCTGGAACTGATTCATGGTGTTATCTTAGGCTCCTGCACACTAGGATTAAGGGTGTGAGTGTTACCCTCCTTGAGTAGCCTGGATAAGACAAAAGAGGCAGGAAGATGCTGTTAAAATCCCTAGTTTGCTTGCTTTGGCTGCTTTCTGTCTCCCATGAACTGTTTCTCCTCTGCAACGCCCCTCTGCCACGCCACCCTACCTTGGAATCAGCCAGCGAGGACTGAAACCTCTACAAACTCTGAGCTAAACAAACATTTCTTCCCTTAACTTTTGGGTGTTGGGTATTTCATCTCAACAATGAGAAAAGTAACTAAGACACCAGGTAAAATATACCATACTAGGAGAGGGAGTCTGTTTCTACTTTTAAAACTACAAATTCTAAACCATTATGAACAAGAAAATTTCATAGCAATATGTCCTTAACTTGAAAAAAGACCAGAACCCTAGCTCTGTCATCCATCCAGTCTCTGTGAGTAGGGGCAACGATATCCACACAGTGAGTAACAAGCATAATTGAAAAGCTCCTACTGTGTGACAAATAACTGAATATTTCATCCAGTAAGAATATAAGCTATATGCAAAAAGCAGTTTCTTGATTTCTCTATTTACTTCTCTGTCTCTAATGTCGGGCATATGTCAGGAGCTCGACAAGTACTGGTTACATTAATAAATGACTTAATTTTCCCAAGAGGCTCAGAGAGGCTGAGTAGTTGGTCAGGGTCACATCATTACCAAATGAATGCTAAAGTTGAACTCAGGTCAGAAAGGTCCCTTCTCACACGAATGACCCAGAAACATCACATTTCCCAGGCCTGCCCTGTAGATTACTCGCCTTGGAGAATACCCAGAAAGGTCAAACTCAACATGGCTTTCTCCATCTCTCCAGCTCCTGTTTCTGCATGATGCTTTTCCCACAGCCCTGAAGTTGAGAGTTCTGGGAGACAATAAATCCATTGTAGCCAGCCGTAGGGGTGCATGCCTGTAATCCCAGCACTCAGGAGGCTGAGGCAGGAAGATCACTGTGAGTTCAAGACCAGCCTGGGCTACAAGGTGAGCTCAAGGCCTCCCTGAACTGCTTAGCAAGACGCTGTCTCCAAAAAAATAAAAGAAAAGGAAATAAGTCCATTGGAAATAAATTTATCCGTGTGCTGCAGCTGTTCATGGAGCTCATGAGAATCATAGGGTTAAACCATAAGGAATTTTGTGAGCTGATAGTTAAATGTAGCCATTATTAAAAATCAAATTATCTAAGCTCACTGTTAAATAGATTGCATTAACAACAAAGACAATAAGATACATAAAATTCATCACCTCCTGATTATCTGCTCTATTTCACCCCGGTCTGTGCTCTGGAGGTTGTCTGTCTGTGGGGTTTGCAGGATGAAAGTCGTCACCCAGGACAGTGTCCATGGAGAACCTCTTCCAGTCCCATGCTTCATGACATCATTTTGGTAACTTGAAATCAGCCGTGGTGGGGGCATTTACACCACAGAAGTTGGCAGATGTTACCAACCAGGTCCCATCTTGATTATTATCCCAGAGCATTTGCGGCTGTTAGCATGTGGCATTACAATAAAGGACCCAGGCACAAATCAAACAGCATGGCTTCAAGATCTCTGGGAGGCTGGTGAAAACCCGAGAGCAAAGTACCTGTCAAAAAAAGCACACCGTGCTTCAGAAGAGGACAAAGGCTTTCGGCTCCCTGGGACCCCGCGCACACTGCTTCTGGGGTCTGGCTGCCTGTGCGTGGGGAGAGGCCCTCCACAGCCAGAGGGCTCGGTGAAGAGCTCTCTGGCCGACCTGCAGCCCCCTTTGGAGATTCACCCCTCCCCAGCCCTGCAGAGTCTTTGCTCCAGTGTGGAGAGCAGGTCTCGCGTCTCTAATGAGCAGTTGGCATGGTGCCCATGGTGTCGTCCTGGGTCCCCTGCTGGCATGAAGTTGATTTAGCTGTGTCCCGCTGGCTACCCCACCCACCCTCTGTATCTGCTTTTAATACCTCTGGAGGACGTGTCAGCGGGAAGAGTGGAGACTCGGTACAGCCATAGACAAAAGTAGATGTCAGCCTCGGGAAGCGTGTCTGTCCCAGGCAGCCATCCCATCCACAGGGCTTCAGAGTGCTGGAAACTCTTTCATAAATTCTGTTTCCTCTTCGGTGGAGTTTAAGGTTTGTGGAGCCCCCTCCCCGGGTGCTGCTATGCCTGGAGCGCTTTGTGTACAATCTTTGACTACTGTACGAAGCAGGTATTGTGAATCCCTGTTACACAGAGGAAACCGAGGTTTGGGCAGCCAGTGAACGGCTCCGTCCGGATCGCAGTGTTCATCTCTCAGGCTGCAGACTCACACGTTTCCTAGTGCATGACACTTGCTTGAAATAGAGATCCTAAAATAAACCTCCAGGAAGGGTATGATTTCAACAGTTACAAGTTCGGGAGGAGGACGTAAGAGGCCTGAAGGAGCGCATAAACAGACTAACAACGTGGGAAATGAGGGGCCTGGCAGAGAGCACTGAGTGGGCTAACGGTTGGTGGAGGACAGGAGAGACTGGGGCGGGGGTGGGGCAGCGGATGGACAGAACAGGGGTCGGATGGCGGAGGGACGGGAGAGCAGTGGGTGGGTGGGCCAAAGAATGGAAGGGTGATGTCCTGATGAGCAGATGGGTGGTCAGAAGGGTGATGGGTGGATGGATAGGTGGTGGGTGGGAGGATAAGGAGACGGGAATGGAAGGATGGAAGTGTTATAGATGGATGGGTGGGGGCGGGAGGCTGTATCGTGAATGATGGGGTGGACATGAGGATGGATGGATGGATGGGGAGAGGGTGGAAGGGTACGGGCACCTCAGGAGAAAAAGGAAAGCTTAGGAAGAGGAAAGCCAAGGAGCGATACAGAGGGACCGAGCAGACAAAAGAAGGTTAAAGACATGGAAAGGCGGGTGACAGACAAGCGGGCACAGACAGGAAGAGAATGGGCAGGGGGTGACGGGGGGGGGACCTGAGAGAGCAGAGGGGACCCAGGCGGGTGGATGAGGGTGCCTGGAGGGAGAAGCACGTCGTGGGCACGGGATGGCAGTGAGAAGGGACCTGAGGGAGAGGAGATGAAGGGGAAGACCAGAGCGAGCCCGCGCCCACTCAGAGACACACATGCCAAGCAGCACGCGCTAAAGAAGCCCTCGCACAGTGTGCAATACGCCACCAGGGCCCAACAGGCAACACAGGAGCTGAACACTTGGCACCTTCCTTAGACGCTGCTACGGTCAGCGTTCGCAGGAAAATGCATTTCATACAGGACACATAATGTATAGGGTTATTTCGTAACATTCACCCAAAAGTTCAAAGGCAGAAGAGTGCATGAGATCTGTCTGCATGCTAGAGACAGGAAGACTCCAGAAGCAGCACTGGATCCCACGGCAACGGCCCGTCCAAGTCCGTGTCAAGGATCTGCTCCGGGAAGGCCCGAAGGCCAGTGGTGGAAGCCAGAAGGTCTGCACTGGCGGGGTGAAGGATCTGTGCCAGGGAGCGGAGGGATCTGCACTGGAGCCGGGAAATGACACTCAAGGCAAAGACCAGAGCTCCCCCAAGAGACAGCAGCCATCCTGGCAGGACAGCGGGGGACAAGTTATCAGGAAAGCCAGCGCGACAAGCTTCTGCGGGGGAACCTGCAGTTCTCCCTTGGTGCTGTTGGCAACGATCCTCGGTGGGCCCGGAACCACGCTGACTCAGCCCAGCTGGCGTTCCAAGGTGAACCGCTGGTTAATCCCACACCGAGGCCCCAGCCCCGGGCTGAGCTCTGTCCTGCTTTCCCTCCTCTTCCTCCTCCAGCCGCCCACCTCCTGGCCCTCGCTCTCTCCCTCCCTCTGCTGTGCCTTCCAAACACAGCGACTTTCTCTTGGCAAGAGCCACACTGGAGTCGAGCAGTGGGACCAGCCAGTTTGACCTTCTCTGTTCTTGGACATAATTACTGTTATCCCAGATAATCGCTTTGAAATAACTCTGAGTCATTACGTACCTCCGTGCTATTTTGCCCATTTGTCTGGCACAGCCTTGTCCAGGGAGCGAGATTTGGAAGGAGCAGGCTTCTGGGCTCTCTCTCTTGTTCCCTTCCTTCCTCTCTCATCCTCTTCCTCCTCCTTCTCCTCTCCTGTACCCTGCACATTTGCCTGAAACTTTGTGGTGATTGCTTTGTTATCATAGTTCCAAATCTAGGGCCCTTGTCCCCTTTGGGCCAGGGACAAGGCACCTCTGAGTGCATGAGGAGCCAGTGAATTCCAGCGCCACACTAGGAAAGGACATTATGCTGAGGTTCAGGGGTAGCTGGAGTGAGAGCGACTCCAAAGCTCAGGAAGAAGCTACCCAGGCCAAGGGGAGATTCAAGGTCAGGCCCTAGAGAGGCCCAGAGTGAGTCCGAAGTGGAGGACTCTGCAGGGGACAGACCCAGAGAGGGATCCCCCACTGGGTGGCAATTAGATTATCGCAGTGTCCCCCAGCTCCACTTCATGAGCTGGCAGAGCTGGTGACCTCTGGAGAATGAAAGAATGAACCCAACCAGGACGGCTCCGGAGCCCAAGGAGCTGCCCCCGTGAGGCAGAAGGGCCCCGTGAGCGAGGCCTTTCTCTGGGTCTGCTGGAGGGTTGGGGGTACAGGCCAGCCTGCCCAAAGACTGGCCTCCAGTTCCCAGGTTCCCCAGGTGGGTGTGACCCCAACCAGCCCATGGGCTCCTGTATTTCACCCCAGGAATAGCCTGACTGGAGTGCTTGCTTCTGATTCCTGGTTCTCCCACAGAGTAAGCTGTGTGACCTGCAGAAAGTGGCTTAGCCTCTCTGAACCTGGGTTTCCTCACCTGGAGAGCAGGGTGGTTGGGAGGATTTGATGTGAATGGCCAGCACGGTGTACAAGGCAAGGCAGTTGCTCAGTAAACATCGATGGGAGGCACAGTGTGCTTGGGTGACTCCCACTTGCCGGCCCTGGTCCCTCCAGACCCCTCCAAAAAGAAAGCACTCCCAGCAGCTCTGCCTTGCCCGAGGCCACATCCTGCCCCGCACTCTGCAGTCTGCACGCTGTCCTCACCTGTCCCCGTTTACCGCCCTCCTACTGCCTGACCAGCTCCAGCCCCAATTTGTCTGCACCACGCACTGGCACAGCCGAGGACTGGATCCCAGTCACAGCAATGGCCGAGGAGCCGTGATGGGGCCCGTGAGGTTGCTCCAACCTGGTGGCTGCTCATTCATTAGAAGCCGGGCCCTCCGCTAGCAGCTCCCCCCTCCTGGAATTGTCTCCGTGAGGCCTCGCCAGCACGGCCCCCACGCGGCCTCTTGCATTCAGTGGTCACCACTCTGGAGCAGAGCTAAGCTGTCCAGGTTGGGTGCAAGAGATATGTGAGAGAAATCTAGGGGCCAAGACCCCCCTCCTGGGGAACACAGCCCCGGGCTCTCCTGCCAGAAGTCCTCTAGTATCTAATGTCAGCCCTAGTCCCAGCAGAGCACACTGTGCTGAGACCACGGATGGATTAGCACGCTGAGACACACAACCTGTATTTAGTGAGCAAACGGGCTCAGAGAGGTAAAGAAACAGAGCCAAGGTCACACAGCTTGTCAGTGACGGGGCCGGGGCTCCAGTCCAAGTGCCTGAGACACCAAAGCCTGTGTCCTCCCCACCGGGCCACACTGCCTGTCACGTTCTGTCACTCCTGGACACGGTGGCCACGGTCAGTGTTTTTAAGCAGGGTTTTTAGGGACTCAGAACCATGGTGGGCTTTTGAATATTTCTCTGTTCTCTTCTCCAAAAGACAGAAAGGTCTGCAAGGCCAGGATTGCTGCTCACGTCTCCAGACTGGGTGTTTCCAGGGGGGCACTTGTGCCACTTCTATCAGTGGAGAAGCTGTGCCTCGTCCGTCAGACTGCGACCTCTCGCCCTCACTTGTGTCTGCCAGCGTCATCGTGAGAGAGGCAGCCAGATGCCGTCACTGCCTGCACCCTCTCCTCCCCTGCGTGGCCCTGGCACCCGCCCTCCCGTCCCGCTCCCGAGGCTCCCTCTCCTCCAGCAAAGAGCACATCCATCATCTCCCTAACAGGTGCCGCACCCAGCCCTCGCATCTCCCCGACAGCTGGAGCCGTGTGCACGCTTGCGCAGGCAGGGAGGGATGGGACAGATGGACAGAGTGGCCCTGACCCTTCCGGTATCTGCACGGCACCTGCACCTGGGAAGCCAAGAACAAAGAGCAAATAGGGAAGTGTCCTGTGCCCAGCTCCATCTATAAAAGTCCCCAGGGCCCTCCCCACCCCACTAACAGGACATCAGAGCCCCAGACCTGCAGGGTCCCCCAGGGCTAACTTAAAAGCTGTGACCTGGGAGTCTCCACCCCCGTGACACGGGAAGGGAGAGCCTGCCCTCCCCATCACGGGGCCGTTTCTAGGACAGGTGGGGCCGTGTCCCTGCTGCACTGGTTCTGAAGCTTCACTGGGCCGTGATGCCAGCATGTCCGGCCCCTGGCCCCTCCAGACACTCCAGCCTGGGGCTGGGGGTGGGAGGCTCGGGCACAGGACAGCATCCAGGGCTCAGACACCATCTTTATCTCACATCTTTCATAGGATTTAGAGTCAGATATAGCTGGATTCCAACCTGCCTCTTGTATCTATGAAAACATAAAATGTTTATGACCCCTGACCCAGAGTCCCGCTTCACAATCGATCCTCAGACATAAAAGCACCATTACCGAAGGGCGTCCAGGCTACAGTGGCTGTCACAGAATCGTAAGAGCAGAAACCTTGAAACAGCCGGGACGCACATCAAAGGGGGGACCAGTTGGCTGAGGGTGTCCATCCACGCTATTGGCTACTAGAGAGCTGTTAAGAAGGATAACTTACAGCTGTCTCATTGACCTGAGATGTCTAGAATGTTGTGAAGCAAAAATACACTGTTAAAGGAAACGCACGTTAAGGTGGAAACCACCTGCATGGGACAGGCACCGCAGCACCCCACATTCCCCAAGGCCCCATCTCTGTGTGTGTTTCTAGATGGGGAAGGGTACCAGCGGTGCTGGGGACAGGAAGTGAAAAGTGGAAAGATGAGCATATATTTAAAAATAAAAAAGTAGGGGCTGGGGATTTAGCTCAGCGGCATAAGCACCTGCCTTGCAAGCAGGCGGTCGTGAGTTCGATCCCTGGTACCGATAAAAATGAAAAAGCCAAAAATAAAATAAAATAAAATAAAATAAAAAAAAATAAAAAAGTAGTAACTGTTTAACTCCCATCTCTGACACTGATTTATGATGGGCGGGATGGGCAGCCCATCCCTGCCCAGGCCTCAGTTTCTCTACCTGTGAAATGGAAACAGCAATGTTTGTCTTGCAGACTCGTGTGAGGATGGAAGGGAACAGGAGGGAGGAGAGGCCACAGGGGAGGCCACAGCTGGAGCCAGCACCCACCCCTTCACGAGGGCACATGTGGGGGAGATTCTGCCTGCACCCCTTCCTCAAGGGAACCCCACCTTCTCTTCCCAGCCAGCCTCTGTGGCTCTGCAGCTGAGTGACCACAACAAGACCTATCCCTCCCTGAGCCTCCCATGTCTCCTGTACCCAGCCTGCTGTGAGCCCAGCACAATGCCAGACCTGGGCAGGCTCCTGCAGTAGTCCCTGTCGGGGAAGCAGCCAGGCAGGGCGAGGCAAAGCTGCTGGGTAAACAGGGCCTCCTCTGCAAACATTCTGCGCCAGGCCCCTGCAAAGCTCACCTGAGATTTTGAGGCCAGCAGAGAATCCCAAAGCACTCAGCAAACACCACTCAGCAGACAGCTGCCCCTCGGGAATTGGGGTTAAATTCTGGACTTCTTCATTGTAGAACAGGGAGATTTGCGGGTGCTACGAGGGAGAGAAGGGGGGTAAGAGGAGAGAGGAGGGAGAGGAGGAAGGGGATGGGAGGAAGAGGAAAAGAGCAGGACGCAGAGGAGGAGGAGGAGGAGGAGGAAGGGGAGGAGAAGGAAGACCATCCTACCTGTCTTGTCCTCCAGAGACAGAGAGGATGCACAGCCTAAATCCCAGGGTCTAGTAGACTCAAGGACACCTTCAGGAAGGAAAGACCCACCGAAGATCAGGCTGGACACTGCCCACGTGGTCAGACTCACGTGGACAGACGCCGACAACAGGCTCACTCCTGGGCCACCCCTGGAGGCCCGCAGGTCCCCAGCAGCAGGAGGGGCAGGAAAGCCGGCTTCCACCTGCACTGACTGCTCTCACCTGGAATTGACTGAGATTATATTTTCTGCCCTCGGGCAGAAAGGGAGCTTGGGACTGAAATTCCTCCGTTCTGTGAGAGAAAAATACAGTTACAGCTCCTGCACACCAGCGGACGTGGCTCGCAAACTCATAAGCACTGTGTACACAGCCTCCCCCGCCACAGAGACAGGCTGGGGGAACGCAGTGGCACCTCGTACCCTGGGCCCGAGGAGGGTGCAGAGGACGGGCAGCTGCCTGCACGCCACCTGCTTTGGCTGTACCTCCTTTCGGAGTCTGAGTTGTCACCCAGATAAGAGCAGAGTGCTGACCCCAGGTCCTGCCCCAGGAGCAGGGCGGGCAGCCAGCCACGCCCACACAACCTCGAGGAGCCCCACATGGGGCAGGGCAGGGGATGCCTTCCATCCTAGAAGCTCTGGCCCCTGTTTTAGGGCTCCTTGGCCTCCACACTATTGGTTTTGGGGTGGCATCATCATGGGGGTTGCCCTGGGTATGCTACCCACAAAACATCACCAGCTCCCACTGGTGGGACCAGCGATGTCTCCAGGTCCTGCTGAGTGTCACCTGGGAGAAAAACCCTCCTGCCCCACCCAGCTGTCCTGGAGGCCTTGAAGGGCATGCTACCTCCTCTGGGGTTGGAAGGTTCTCCCTGGGCCCGCCCACATCTGCACCATCCTTCCTGGCTCCTCTGGGGGGTGGGAGGCTGGGGTCTCCCCATGACCCCATAAGAGCCTGGGATGACTGCCCCATCCAGCATGGGCTCAGAGCAGCAGAAGTGACCCAGGGACACAGAGGAGACAGACACTGAAGCAGACGCTCTGACCCCACACGGGGACAGGAAGAGAGCCCCAGGGACACACCGGGGAGGTCCTTCCCCAGCCCCCCCAGCCCAGGATGGCTGCGGTCTTTCTGCCTCAACATCCCGTCCTTCCCCGCCTGCTGCATGTGTCACCAAGCTGGGGAGAGCAGAGGGTCCCAGCCCATCGGGGTATGGTCCACAGTTCCAGGCTCCTCCTGGACGCTATGCCACACAGTCCACAGCACCAGAGAGACCCGCAGATCTGTGAGTCCTCCCTAGCATACCCCTGGGCACTGCTGTGAGCCAAGCCACAGGCCTGACACCCCATAAGAGTGCGGCAAAGAGGCTGGGGGCCCAGGAATCACTAGGACTCCGGTCCTAGCAGCTACGGGGCCCAGACTCAGCCAATCCCCTGCCCTGCCCCCTAAGGAGCTCCTTCCTTTGCCTCCAAGCCTCCCCCTCGTTGGCTCCCCATCCTGAGTGCAGAAGCCCCTTCTGCCCCCGGCCAGGCAGGAGCAGGCGCTGAAGCCTGCGGGTATCTTCTCCTCCCGCACTCTTCCCTCTGACAGACCCAGGGTGACTCCACCACTTCCTGGGCCTGCTTCTCCTCCCGCCTCCGGAGCCTGAGCTCTGGGCTCATCTCAGCTGACCACTGACCTCCCAGCCTCTCCGCACCCCCAACCTCCTGGAGAGGCAGCCTAATGTATGTAGCTCGGCCACTGGCTCCCCGGGTTCAAATCCCCACCTCACCCTGAACTATATATTAGTGTGTGATGTGGAGTCATGATTCAACCCTTCTCAATTTCCTTATCTCTAAAATTAGCATAATAATAGCACCTGCCTCCCAGAATTGTTAGAATTGAGTTATCACAGGGATGCACTTGGACCTGAGCCTGGGACATAATAAATGAGCATAAAGGATGGGCTTGGTCTCATTCCCCAGCATCCCCTGCGCAGCCTGCAGGCCTGACCTTCAGGGCCTTCTTGCTGGGCTCTGCCCTCCTCCACTTGTATCTGTCATCACCTGCTGGGTGATGAGTTACCGGAAAAGCACTGGCTGACACCAGAAGCATCTCCGCCTCACCTGGTGCTATAGGTCTCTGAGGCCTCACTGTCCCCACCTGGGACACACAGCCATGTCCCGGCTTGCCTGGGCTAGGGCCCCGCTC